TGTAAAGACAAGTTCTCACTGTGCTGGTCTCGAACTCTTGGGCTCAAGTGATTCTCCCACCTCAGTCTCCCAAATTGCTAGGTTTACAGGCATGAGCTACCATGCCCAGCCGAGAGGTAACATTTAAGCAAAAATTTAAAAGAAAGAAGGGAGTAGGATTTGTGCTTATCTGGGAGAAGGGCATCAGGCAGAGGAAACAACAGTAGCACAACGAATACAGATACCCTGAGGTGAGAATTGTGTTCTAGAAACAGTCGAGAGGCCAGTGTGGCTAGCGCTTACTAAGTGAGGAAGAGAACAGAATAGAGGGAAATGAAATCAGAAAGGTCTACGGTGGCCAAATCAACTAGGGTCTTGAGCTGCTTTAAAGACTTCAGTTTCAGCCGGGCTCAGTGGCTCAGCCTGTAATCCCGCGCCTTTGGGAGGCTGAGGTGAGTGGATTGCCTGAGCCCGCGGGTTTGAGACCCGCCTGGGCAGCGAGACCTCATCTCTACAATAAATCAAAAAATCACTGCCGGGAGTGGTGGCGCATGCCTGTAATTCCAGCTCCTTGGAAGGATGAGGCGGAAGGATCGCCGGAGCCCAGCAGGTCGAGGTTGCGGTGGCCGGGAGCAGCCACTGTACTCCAGTCTGGGCGACAGAGTGAGACTCCAACTCAATAAATAAACAAAAAAACAAATAAATAAATGAAAAAGACTTCAGTTTCTATTCTGAGGTGGAAGATGGGAAGCCGCTGTAGAGTCTTGTGCCAAGAAATGCCATGAACTGACTTCCTTTGAACAGGATCATGTTGGGTGCTGTGTAGACTGTAGGGGCCAGAGGAAGAAGGAGACAGCCTCATTAGGCTAACCGCAGTAGTCCAGGTGGGACCAGGGCGGAGCCTGGAGCCAGTGGCCATGGTAAAGATGATGACAGTCAGATTCTGGATACATGACGAATGTAGAGACAACAGGCTTGGCTAATGGACAAGATGTGGGAGGTGAGAAAGAAAGCAGTCAAGGACAACAGATGAAATCTGCAACACTGAGTGGTACAGCCAATTCGTGGGGCTAGGTAGGTGAGACCAGCAGCACAGCTTAGCATGCTGCATTATCCCAGAGGAAAGTTACAAAATGGCTTGAAAATGTGGACTTTCTCAAATTAATAATAATAATTTTTTTAAAAGGCCATGCATGTTAGTTCTTGTCTGTAATTCCAGCACTTTGGGAGGTGGAAGTGAGAAGATTGCCTGAGCCCCAGGGTTCGAGACCAGCCTGGGCAACTTGGCACGACCTTGTCTCTACAATAAATCAAAAGAACCAGGATGGCGTGGTGGTGCACACACGTGGTTCCAACTAATCAGAAGGCTGAGGCAAAAGGATCACCTGAACCCAGCAGGTCGTGGTTGCCATGGCCGTGAATATGCCACTGCTCTTCAATCCGGATGGCAGAGTGAGACTCTGAGTCAAAAAAATTAAATAAATAAAAATTTTAAAAATTACTTGTTATCACACTATTCCCAAAATAAAATCCAGCTATTGAAACATCAAGTTGCCAAATAGATTGTATATGTGATTTTATTTCTGTTTGTTTTGAGGTTAAAGACTATTATTTAACCAGTGACCAGCTACCTTAACACATTTAGCACATTGCAGTGGTTGCTGGAAATGAACAAAGTGATCGGTTTTGTTTGGGGTTACTCCTGGTGCCTAATTTAATTGTTTGTAATAAAGCTTTTACATACTGAACAGTTTTATTTGAGTTAATTGCATCGGGTACTTGTACTACCATCTCAGCCATAATCTAATAATTGCTTTGTGCTCATAAAATCTCCATAGCACCATATCAAATATCGGAAATCAACTTATACTGGAACTAGTGAGTACCAGATTGTGCTTATCTCTTTGCAAATCTCCATTCCCTGACGTCACTTTGGCAGCTTCAAAATCAGCCTTGGTAGGAGGATTTACACCACAGAAAGTGACAAGCTCCTGGGCCAGCAATCCTCCCACCTTGGCCTCCGAAAGTGCTGAGATTACAGACATGAACCAATGCGCCTGGCCTAGAATTTGCATTTTAACAAGATCCCCGGTTAATTAACATGCATATTAAGATTTCAGAAGCCCTGCTCTAAATCACTGATTCTCGCACACTCAAATCAGGGCTTTCTTTTTTTTTCATAGAGTGGGTTTAGCAGCACACGACTGAGCATGGATGGCAAAGGGCAGGATTATGAATGCCAACATGAGGTTACCCAGCAGTGGCACTGGAGGTCCGGGGATATAGTGGGAGCCATCTGCTCTGGGGAGAGGGGAGTTTTACTATCATCAACATGGCTTTATTGCTAGCTCATAACGATAATAAAAAGCAGACCCACTTTAAGTCCTTGAGTTCTCTACAACGTTCTCTCTTATTGCCTGTGTCCAGAGCAAATCCCTCCCACCTACTCGACCTCCACTCTAATCTGCTTACTGCCTCATACTGTGGTCATGACATTTACCTTCTCTACGTCTTAATTTTCTCATCTCTCCAATGAGAATCATAAACATCTACTGTGCTGACTTCAAGGTTGACCCAATTGTTACCACCTCTAGGATGCTTTCATATATGCCTGTGGCTGACGTAATCTCTCTCCTTCCTCTAAAGTTTCTGGCCTTTGGGGAATTCTAGTCCTACCCTGGATTAGAAATTGTATTTTCTTTTTTGAGTAGAGACTCACTCTGTTGCCCAGGCTGGAGTGTGGTAGCACAATTACAGATCACCACAGCCTCGACCTCGTGATCTCAGGTGATCCTTCTGTGTCCCAGCCTCCTGTGTAGCTGAAACTACAGGCATATGCCAACACACTCAGTTAATGTTATGATTTTGTGTAAAGATGAGGTCTCACTATGTTGCCTAGGCCAGCAGTCCTCCCATCTCAGCCTCCCAAAGTGCTGGGATTACAGGTGTGAGCCTCCATGCCTGGCCTAGAATTTACACTTTGGTAGGATCTCCAGCTAATTAGCATGCACAGTAAGATTTCAAAAGCCCTGTCTAAACCGCTGGATCCACAAACTTAGCTTCATGTTGGAATTATCTGAGGAGTTTTAAAAATCTTAATAGCTAGACCTCACCCTAAGTGATTCTGATTCAGTTGGTCTGGGGTACAGCCAGGCATCAGGACTTTGCTAAACTCCAAGATAATACTAATGTGCAGCAAAGTTTGAGAACCGTAGCTCTGGGCAACCCTCTTTCAAGACCCCTCCCACTGCCAGGGGGTTGTCTAGCTCCTAATAATTCCTACTTACTCACTCCATGGTTGTCCATGGCCCTCATTCTTCCTGGGCGCGAGACAAGAACCCAGAACTGCTGAACCAGAGGAGTTGTACACTCTGGACTGGAAGAACTAGACCCCCCAAGCTGAGAGAGCTTCAACACTTCTTGGGGGTTGGTTTGCCAGCCCGCAGAACCGCCAGAGCTATCAACACTTCTCGGGACTCGGCTCACCGACCCCCAAACTAAGACAGCTGTAACCGTCCTTGGAGGTCCTGCAGCTGTTGTCATCCCTGAGTTCTTGGGTGCCACCATGTTCCCCAAACCAGATACTTTTGTGTCCCTGGTCACCACATGGACCCCTCAGCTGGCAGTGCAGTTTCGGGAACTGCAACATCCCTTGGGGGCCCAGTTGGCCAACTTGCAGGACAAAAACACTACATCAGAAAGAAAGATTGTTTCTGCTTGGAGGAACCAGAGAATTTTCAGCTGAGCCTTTCAAGCCCACAGCCTCAGTTTAAGAATCAGAAAAAAGATGTTAAAAAGAAAAAAAGGAGATCATCCCCACAGAAGACCCTTGTCAACCAGCTCATCAGCTCTGAGGAGTGATCAAGGAATTCTAGAAATAGCACAATGTACAGACTGATCACATCTTTGGGTCTCAGCGTGGCATATGACTTACTGCTTAGTTACATCTTAAACTATGTAGGAAAGCAAGCATGCCCCTTCTGTATGGAAACTTGGTGTTCTTTGTCCAGTCTCCCAGGCCAGGGCACACAGTACCAGGTGCAAAACTGATTTTTTTTTAAGTACCCCTTCCCTACCTTGGGGAGGTGAGTTCTCTCTCTCTCTCTCTCTCTCTCTCTCTCTCTCTCTCTCGCTCTCTCTCTCTCTCTCTCGCTCTCTCTCTCTCTTTCTCTCTCTTTCCCTAATTTACTTTTAAATAAAGTATATTTTCTAATCTAAAGGAAAAGTAACATTTTTCTTTAAACAAATGAGAAGCTGGGTGTGGTAGCTCATGCTTGCAATCCCAGCATTTTGGAGGGTTGAGGCAAGAGGATCACTTGAGGACAGAGGTTTGAGATCAACCTGGGCAACATTAGCAAGACCCTATCTCTACCAAAAATAAAAAGAGAAAGAGAGACAGTATCAACTGTTCTATCAACTTGCCCTTACACTCTCTTAGGAAGCCTTAATGTTCTGTATGCTTTCTTATCCAATACTGGGGTTATTTGTGTCCACATAATGTTTTTCTATCAAACCGACGTCTCTATCAAACTGTCTTGCAAGAGTGAGAACTATTTCTTAATTCAATGTTTATCACTTTCTTTCTAACAAAACTTAGACATATCCTAGTAGTTTAAGAAATATTTATTGAATGAACAATGAGTGAAGCATTTATTTATAATCTAAAAGCATTTTCTCAAGATTGCATGACTTTTGTTTTAATTTGAAGACTGGTTGGACATATTCTTGAAATTGTGGAGTTATTTCCTCTTTAGTTTCTAAGTAAAGATTAAATATCTGAGAACTCAGAGACTGGTGGCTAGCTTGGGCTTTCTCAATGAGAACAGATTCTCTGGGTACCAACGAGGCTGGCCATTGGCATCTGTTTCCACATTTATGTCCACACGTGAGTTGCTTTCAGGAAATGCAGCCTGGAATCCTACAACTCCAGAGGGCGAGGCAGCTCAGCCTCCCAAGCTCTGTGTGTCCAAGTCAGAACTCCTGGCTGAAATATGATCATGTTATTGTCTCTTCCTCTCCAGGGTGCCATTGTGATATTTATGGGGATTGTTGCTCTGACTATGAAGGCATCTGTTATTGAAATGTTTCTTGGTAAGTACTTCTCTATGTGTGTCTGGATACTCTTTTAACATCTTCCTAAGGTCCAAAGAATCCCAGCCAAGAAAAGTTTTAAACCAAGACAGAGCACATAAACAGTACAGTGTATCTTTTTATGATAAACAATTTGGACGGATGTTTAAGTGAGAATGTTAAGTGAAGATCAAATTCAGGCTGCACGTGTATATATATTTTTATATAAAGCTAATACTCTGTATGCATTACACATCTCTGTATATTACACACTGCACACACATAGACTAGCATGTCTTTGTGTGTGTTCTTCAGCAACTAGCAAATAATTCAGATACAGCATATTTGTACATTCTGATTATAGGGATCTTCTTGCTCCTTAATTTTATGAGAAAAAAAAAAACTTATCCCTGACACGGCTTTACTTGAACCACTGGAGACATACTTTTGGTGATGAATGAAGCACATTAAACTCATTCTTTGTTACCAGAGAATGCAATTCCAGATAGGTTCTCCAGGAGCAGCAGGTCAACTCAAAGAAAGCAAGTGTTGATGGGTTTAGGAGTAAGCCCAAGGGTATCTTCTGTTAAGCTTGGCCCCACTGTGCCCTGGCCTTGTCAGGTAAAGTGACCCTGTAAGTCATTATGAAGCTATTGCCAAGAAAAGGTGCAAAGGCCTTTCAGTTGGTCAGTATTCATTTTTGAGGGCTACTGTAACAAAATACCACAAACTGGGTGGCTTGAAGCAACAAAAATCTATTCTATCTAGACACAGTAGCTCATACCTGTAATCCCAGTACTTAGAGAGGCCAAGGTAAGAGGACTGCTTGAGTCCAGGAGTCCAAGACCAGCCTGGGCAACATAGCGAGAAACTGTCTTTATTTTAAAAGTGTTTAAAAATTAGCCAAGTTTGGTGGCTGAGGCAGAATGATCTCCTGAGCCCAGAAGGTCAAGGCTGCAGTGAGCCATGATCATGCAGTGCCATGATCATGCCACTGCATTCCAGCCTGGGTGACAGAGTGAGACCCCAACTCACAAAACAAACAAACAAAACCTATTCTCTCTCTGTTCCAGAGACTAGAAATGCAAAATCAAGGAGCCAGCTGAGCTGATTGCTGAGAGGACTGCGAGGTTCCAAATTTTATCTTTTTGTAATGACATCAGTCATATTGGACTAGGGACCCACCCTACTACTCCAGTATGATCTCATCCTAACTTAACTAATTATATCTGCAATGAGCCCGTTTCCAAACAAGCTCACATTCTAAGATACTGGGAATTAGGACTTCAACATGTGAATTTGGGGAACATCATTTAACCCCAAAATTCAAAGAGGATGTTCTAGGTATGTTCAGAGGAACTATCCATGGTAGAACTGGGGACTAGAAGGGAAGAAGGTGAGGCAGCTGGGAAAGCAAGAGGCCCAAGGCATGGGGGAAGGAGCTCTGGATCAGGAGTCAAAGGGAAGATATGGGTTCTAGTCCTGACTTCAACATCAACTTGTTAATTTTGGCAAGTCACCCCTCTTCTCAGATCCTCCTATAAATTATATAGTTGAGCTACGGATCACCCAGCCCCAGGTAAAATGGTTGCCAGAGAGCTAGGGCAGCTCTTCCAACTCACCTGTCCCTCAGGTTGACCACCCTCTCCTGGAACTGAAGATAAGGCCACAAACAATGCTGTCTTCTTAGTTTTGGATAGACTCTCTAGGATAGCAGGTGCTATCAGGAGCCAGTGGCTCCATCCCCTGGCTCTTGTCAGATAATGGTGAGAAGCCCTGAGGAGGGAAAAAAGAAAATTGACTCTGTAGATGACATGATCTTATATATAGAAAACTCTGCCAAGTGCAGTGACTCACACCTATAATCTCAGCACTTTGGGAGACCAGGGCAAGAGGATTCCCTGGGCCCAAGAGTTTGAGACCATCCTGGGCAATAAGGCAAGACCTTGACTCTACAATAAATTTTTAAAAATTCCTGAGAGGCTTCTGGGTGCCTGGGCCAGGAACTTTGCCCCACCACCTCTGTTGTCCTCAGAGACTAGAGTCAACCACCCAACACTGGCTTTACAACTGTCTATGTCTGTCTTGCTTTAGTAAACAAAGAGCTGGCCAGCACACTGGGGAACAGTCATGTTGAAAGCACAGGATCATTCATTTCCACCTTGCCCTTTTGAGAAGCTACCTCCCTCCCCAGATTAACCTAGGAGCTAGCCGGTTTCTAATATAAGAATGGGGCGGGGGGACAAGGGGTTAGGAATAAGATTTAGTCAAACAAACAAACCACAAGGCTATTTCACACTCTGCCACATTCCCCAGCATCACTGAACCAAGAAAGGAGACTTGTCTGTCCTTTGTCCCTTGCCTTTCTCTGTCTGCTCTTCCTTCACTGGGATGCCCATTTAGGTAGCAAGAAACCAAAGTAGAAAGAGGAGATTAATCTACCTGAGCACAATAAAGGCCCTATAGGACAAGCTCACAGATAACATCATACTCAACAGCAAAAACTTAGAAACTTTTCTTCTAAAATCAGTAACAAGACAAGGATGCCCTCTGCCACTTCTATTCAACATAGTGCTGGAAGTCCCAGCCAGAGCAATTAAGCAAGAAAAAGAGAAGTAAAATTATCTCTGTAGATGACATGATCTTATATATAGAAAACCCTGCTGGTGGTAGTGACTCACACCTGTAATCCCAGCACTTTGGGAGGTCAAGGTGAGAGTATTCTCTGAGCCCAAGAGTTTGAGACTATACTGGGCAACAAGGTGAGACCTTGCCTCTACCATAAATCAAAAAAATTAGCCAGGCATGATGGTGGGCACTTGTAGTCTCAGCTACTTGGAAGGCTGAGGTAGAAAGATGTCCTGAGCTCAGCAGGTTGAGGCTGCAGTAGCTGTGATCATGCCACTGTACTCCAACCCAAGCAACAGAATGAGACTCTGATTCAAAAAAGAAAGAAAATAAAAAAAAAAACCCTAAAGGCTACACCAAAAAAATTGTTAGAACTGATAAATGAATTCAGTAAAGTTAGAAGATACATACAAAATCAATACCAATTGCATATACTAACAATGAATCACCTGAAAAATAAATCAAGAAAATGGGTCCATGTACAATAGCATTAAAAAAAATTGGGAATAAATTTAACCACAGAAGTTAAAGATCTGTACACTGAAAACTATAAAACATTGAAGAAAGAAATCAAAGAGGACACAAATAAATGGAACGGTATTCCATGTTCATGGACTGGAAGATTAATATTTTTTTAAATATTCATATTGCCCAAAGCAATCTACAGATTTGATGGAATCTCTATGAAAATTCCAATGGCATTTTTCAAAGAAATAGGAAAAAAAATCCTAAAATTCACATTGAACCACAAAATATCCTAAATAGCCAAAGCAATCCTAAGCAAAAAGAACAAACATGGAGGCATCATAATACCTAATTTCAAAATACACTATAAGCAGTAGTGGATATTGCCGAGGTGCATGGGGGGGCACAGCATCAATAAGGTATCTTAAACCAGGCAAAGTGGGGATCAAAGGGAGGCCCAAACTTTACCTGTGTGGTGTCCAATTGTATACCTAATTGTGCCCCCTGTCTTTAAAATAAAATATTAAAAAAATATACTATAAAGCTATAGTAATCAAAGCAATATGGTATTTGCAAAACAAAACAAAACAAAACCAGACATATAAATCAATGAAACAGAATAGAGAACCCAGAAACAAATCCACTCATTTATGGTCAATTATTCTTTAACAAAGGTGCTAAGAATGCACAATGGGAAAAGAAGTCTCTTCAACAAATGGTGTTGGGAGAATGAGATAGCCATATGCAGAAGAACAAAAGTGGACACTCATCTCACACCATAGGCAAAAATCAACTCAAAACAGATTAAAGGCTTAAATGGAAGACCTTAAACTATAAAACTACTAGAAGAAAACATAAGGAAAAAGTTCTTGACATTGGTCTGGGCAATGACTTTTTGGATATGACCCTAAAAGCACAGACAACAAAACCAAAAATAGACAAATGGCATTGAATCCAAAGCTTCTGCACAGCAAAAGAAACAGTCAACAGAGTGGGGAGACAACATATGGAGTGGGAAAAAATATCCACAACCCATACCCTTGATAAAGGGTTAATATCCAAAAGATATAAGAAACTCAAACAGCTTAAAAAAAAAACAAAACTGATTTTGTTTAACGGGCAAGATATTTCCCAAAAGAAGACATACAAATGGTCAACAGGTAGATGAAAAAATACTTAGCATCACTAATTATCAGGGAAATACAAATTAAAACTGCAATGAGATACCACCTCACATGTGTTAGAATGGCTATCATAAAACAGTTAAAAGGTAAGTGTTGGCATGAGGATGTGGAATAAAGGAAACCCTTGTAAAAGGCTGAAAGGGATGTAAATTAGAACAGCTGCATGGAAAACAAAATGGAGGTTCAAAACTTAGCAATAGAATTGCCATATGATCCAGTAGCCCCACACCTGGGTACATAGCCAAAGGAAATGAACCAGTATGTTGAAGAGATATCTGCACTCCCTGTTTATTGAAGCAGTAAGTAAAATATTCAAGATATGGAATCAACCTAAGTGCCCACCCATAGATTAATAAATAAATAAAGATGATTTAAACTTCTCATTGCTGGCCAGGCACAGTGACTCATGCCTGTAATCCCAGTCTTTGGGAGGCCAACGTGGGAGAATCACTGGAGCCTAGGAGTTCAAGACCAGCCTAAGTAACATAGTGAGACCTTGTCGCTACACAAAGTCAAAAAATTAGCTGGATATGGTGGAACACACCTGTTGTCCCAGCTACTCAGGAATATTATTTAACCTTAAAAACGAAGGAAATCCAGCCATTTACAACATAAATGAAGCTACAAGACATTATACTAAGTGAAATAAACCAGACAGAGAGAGACAAATACTGTATGATTTTGCTTATGTACTGCATAAGGGGTCCCCAACCTCCAGCTGTGGACCTGGACCAGTAGTGGTCT